CACGATTCTGTCACCACTGTGGCTGCTGGTGAGCCTGACCGTGACTGGAGCCTGACCAAGACTCGCCTTGAAGCGGTGCAGTCTGTGACCGTGACAGGCGATGTGACACCGGCCACAGCTGACATGTGCTGCAACTGCTGCGCGCATCTGCAACTGCTGGGCACGTTCTTACCCACATCACCACATTGTGCAAATGTGCAGCCTTTCACTTTAATAATACCAAAGCGCTAAACTGCTGCTTTTCTTTGAATCTGTAGACTCACCATCAAGATCTTTTTAGTTAAATATGTGAAAACAACACTTGACTTTAACCAAACACACATGTATTTATATTACAAGGACCACCAGTGGTGGGAACATCATAGTCCCTGCTTTAGCAGCAGTCAGGGATCAAAAGACATAGGAAACGTCTTTTTTTTTTTTCCTATTAAGAAAGAAGGTGCAACCACATGGAGACACATAAGAAAGATGCTGCCTTTAAAAAGCAGAAATCTGCTAAAGGGTTTTCATAATGTCCCTTTCTTGTATGCACTAGATTGACTTACAAATACATAATAGGCCTGAGTAAGAGAAAAATGGGATTCAAGTGGCTTCCTGACCACAAATTAAGGTACATTGTTCCATAAACCTACTTCTGGTTCATCAAAGCTGTTTGCTGCACTTAACCGGGCTGGTGAGGGACTCCTTGGATGAGCCATCTGTCAAAAGAAGAAAAGGGTCAGATCCTGGAAGATGAACCTAGCACTAATTATGACTGAGATAAAATATAGTGCAATTCTAAACTGGCATTCATAAAAGAAAAGAGACATAGCAAAAAATAAAAGACATTGTTAACCCTCAGCTTTTGTTCTCTTGGAAACTGGAACTATGACGTTAGTGCATTGAGGCACTAGAACAGCCATCAGAAAAGCAAGTTTTCCTCCTAGCATTGTCAAATAACCTGCTGGAAGATGGGCAATGGCATTTCCATTCTGCAGCTTCCTTACCATCCAAATGGGGACTCAGTAAAACAAGCGCCCTTCTTTGTGGGTACTTGGGGCTTTTGGAGTAGAATTATGGAGAGATTGTAACTTGTGTAATACGTACAATGGCACTGCGCCGTAGGGGAAGAGTCAGTATGAACTTCTACAGATTTGAGAGTTTGATGTTACAAAAAGAAAGAGACTTGCCTGAAATTTGCGCCGTAGCGCTTGTGTCATTATTGGTGTCAAACCAGATCCGTATTCAATGTTCTCTTTATTATTTAGTGGAGTGCCACCAGGACTCCTGAAAAGATTGGAAACAAGGGGAATTATGATTAGTTCTCTATTTTTTTTGCTAGAAAAACAAGCCAAGAGAATAGAATGGAACTTGCCTTTGTATATTGACTTTCTTCAGATGTTTTCGAAGATCTAATTGATTTTTAAGAGGGGTACTAAAAGAAAAAAAAACAACCTGTTACAATAAACTATTTTCCACTCCGTAAACAGAGCTCATCTCTGTTCAGAACAGGAAAATCTAATCTCAAAGAAAGGAAGAAAGTGTCTTACATTAAGTCGTTTGTAACATGAGGTGATGGCTTGGATTTAGGTCTCAGACTAACACTCTGTAGATCTGAGACTGTAATTAGTGCCCTGTGTGTCTTCACTGGTGATTCTGCCTAAAATGAGAAAATAAATGTTACCACAAATAAACTTTAGAAGGCTTCACTGACCGTAAATCTTTTAAACATTTATACTCTGAAAGACTTTCGTGGTTTATGGCTTTTATGCTTTTTTGAAACATTGATATTTTAATGTGCCTTGGACAAAACCAGATTTACTAAAAAAACAAACAACTCCAAAAACAAAAACCACACACACACAAAACCAAAAAACACCAACAAAACACCCAGACCTGCTGCAAACAAGATTTCAGCTATGCAAAAGAATACCCAAAATCTGTTGGTAACGCACAGACATAAAGCTACATGCCCTTGATCTAAAATGAGAACTGTCCTGCATGCTGGGATTAGAGTTGGTCACTTAATTTCTTCACTTTAAATGTCCAAGGGCAGAATTGGAAGAATTACTTAAAGCTGATAACTGAATTTTTTGAAGAGAATAATTAATTTATTGAAGAAATTTAGGAGGGGCTAACAAGCGCTGCAGGCAATACACCAGTTCCAGCATGGAGTTTGCCCCAGTAAACCATCATCCATTTATCCATATGTCCTCCAGTTTACCTTGTCCATCTTCAGGCTGCTGTCTGTCTTTTTCAGTTTAACATTCAGGAGATCTTTGAGAGAGATCTGCATCGGTTCGTCTTTTTTCAGTGATACAGCCTGAAAACCAAGGTAGTTGGAAGGGAAATTAGAATCAGCAAGTGACCGAGCCTTTGCAGAGATACCCATCCCTGATGGAACCAGATCCAAAGAACCCCGACATGAGAGAAAAAACAGAGGAACCTCCTTATTCCCTACCAGAAGTGCTTTAGAGCCGTTGCCCCGTTTCAGGAGGAGAGGTGCTGGGGGCAGTTTTGGTGGGGGCAGCGGTGGCGGTGGCGGCGGCGGTGGCAGAGGAAGAGGTGGAGGGGGAGCAGACGCAGGCTGCAGCTGTATTGTGGGCGGCCCAGACACTGATGATGGTGGGGCCATCTGCACTTGTACAGGAGCACCCAAAACCGGCTTATTACACCTTTGACAAAGAGAATTTTCTGAAGGCAAAGCTGCAGCACCATTCATCTAAAAACAATATAAATAAGAGAATATTAATTCCACTAGCAAAGGTAAATGGAATTTCAGAGATCAAAAGTTCTGGCTTCAGTTGAGCAAGAGAGACATAAAAAGCCTTTTGCAAGGCTCACACGCAAACCAGTTCCCTCTGGCTATGAGGTGACCACAGTTTAGTAATGCTGAATGCGAAGAAGAGGTGAAACGCTGCCCAATTAGAAGCTCTTAAGATCTCAGTTTATCTGCACTGACCACAGTTCTTTAGGTGCTTACACAAGAAAATGTTACCCTGCCCCCTGGGACTGAGACTGACCTGGAGTGTTCCTTGTAGTCTGGAAAATTCGGCTTCCAACTTTTCCAGCTGCTCTCTGAGCATATTTAGCTCCCTTAAGTACATTTGTGATGGAAATATGGTGTCTTTCACCACCTTAAAACTCTAAGCATAAAAAGAAACCAGATAAGCATTTTCACCAAGTTATGTTTCCAGAGGAAGGGCTATGATTACTACTGAAAGTTCTATCGCAAGGCCTTCTCATTGTAGTTAATGGAAAGGCACAACACAAAGATACAAAATCTCACCAAATATTTCCTTGGCAGGAACACAAGAAGTGACTTTCTCAAAAAAAATCCCCAAAACTAATTCAACTTTAACTTTGACTACAAATTCTGAAGTGTAATTCACATTTGACCTGAAAAATTCATCCAATCATTTCTGCTATGAAGAAAGACTACACTCTCTGTCACCGCAAATCCCCCAATATTCCAATAAAAAACCCTGCCACTTCACATAAACATTTAATGTCCACATTAGACATTAACAGCAAACACAAAATATACTTTAGATTTTTCAATAGGTAGAACTAAATTTACAGCTTAGTTCCTGCACCTGGGTAGGGGCAATCCCAAGCACAAATCCAGGCTGGGTGGAGAATGGCTCGAGAGCAGTCCCAAGGAGAAGGACCTGGGGGTGTCGGTCAATGAAAACCTCAGTATGAGCCGGCAACTTGCACTTGCAGCCCAGAAACCACATCCTGGGCTGCATCAAGAGAAGTGTGGCCAGCAGAGCAAGGGAGGGGATTCTGCCCCTCTACTCTGGTGAGACCCCACCTGGAGTGCTGCGTCCAGTTCTGGGGCCCCCAATATAAGAAGGACCTGGAGCTGTTGGAGCAGGTCCAGAGGAGGGCCATGAACATGATCAGGGGCTGGAGCACCTCCCCTACAAGGACTGGCTGAGACAGTTGGCGCTGTTCAGCCTGGAGAAGGCTCCAGGGAGACCTTATTGTGGCCTTCCAGTTCCTGAAGGGGTCCTACAGGAAAGCTGGGGAGGGACTTTTTACAAGGGCAGGTAGCAATAGAATGAGGGGGAATGGTTTTAAACTGGAAGAGGGGAGATTTAGACTGGATATTAGGATGAAATTCTCTACTGTGAGGGTGGTGAGACAACCTGGTTTGGTGGGAGGTGTCCCTGTCCATGGCAGGGGGGGTGGGATCGGTGGGGGTTTCCAACCTGAACCATTCTACGATTACACAGAATCACAGAACGTTAGGGATTGGAAGGGACCTCAAAAGCTCATCCAGTCCAATCCCCCTGCCGGAGCAGGAACACCCAGATGAGGTTGCACAGGAAGGCGTCCAGGCGGGTTTTGAATGTCTGCAGAGAAGGAGACTCCACAACCTCTCTGGGCAGCCTGGTCCAGGGCTCTGTCACCCCCACTGAGAAGAAGTTTCTTCTCAAATTTAAGTGGAACCTTTCTATGAAATCTGACTGTATATCCTGTATCTGAGTGCTAAGAACAATCTCACACACTGGCAAAAATAGAGAAGTAAAAAACATACCTGTGCAACCGTGTTCTGGCACCAACAATACAAAAATGATGCTGTTGTTGTAAAGGGTTTTACCACATTTTTTACACTGGGCAAGGCTAATGACCAGAGCGAGGACAGATGGCTTGGGACAGATGGCGTGTTTGGAGGAAGATCACCTGCTGACCTGGGATGGAACATTTCAGAATGAAGCCATAATTATATCTATAATTTTACAATCTATAATAATATCTTATTATATCTATAATTTCAGCCTTTAAAACGGTTAACTGCCACCAATCACCTGAAAAGTACCAGCAACAGCAGGTGACAACAGTGTAAATGTGAGCACAGAGGTCAGGAAAGACCAAGACACATTTTGATAAAGGGAAAAAAAAAAATTCCTGTTCGCAACATATTGTATTCAAATTGCGTTTCCTGCACATTAAAGTTAACGATAGCGTACTAGAAGGTACACAGGATGAAACTATTCCACAGCTTTCATGCCAGGATGTAGATAGGCTCCAAACACAATTCCGTTACCTCAGCTCCATGAGCCATCAGGAGCAAACAGTGAACCCAGCAGTTGAGTTAAAAGGCAAAGTTCCAGCTGAGCCACTTACCGTGGAGAAGGACAACCTGAGCCCTGGGGAATTGCAGCACTGCCTTTTTTTCCCACTAGAAATTTTGCTCTGGCTCTCTGTTTTCGTCGCCATTTCTTATACTTTGCCATTACTGTTTAAAAACAAACAAAAGACACATTTAAAATTAATATATGGAAATAGACCCACTTTCACATAGGCACAGAGCTATCACTAAATAGGTAGGGAAGAACACGGGCTGCATCCCAAAAACCCACTCAGAAGTGATGCGGTTGTCTTGCTAGACACGTCACACACAACCGATTAAAAAATAAAATCCTTCTCTTACATTCCTGTGATCCACCGGGAGGTATTTGTACACGAGAGAGAGGAGTGAACAACGTAACAAGGACCACTTTATATGTGCTTTCTCTTGAAGTGACAAATACCGCGTTTGAGGAGAAGGTGGGCAAAAGACGCGGAGAACCCGAACAACCTATGTCGCACCCGGGTAGCCCCCTGCTAGCCCTGCTCAGCCGGGGAGCCCACACCAAGAACCGAGAGGCGGCCGCTTCCTCACACACAACCGTCGCACCCGAGGCAGCGCGGGGGTGTCACGGGGTGACCAACGACACAGAGCCCCCGTGTGCGTCCCCCACCGTTAAACACCCCATCAACGCTCGCTCACCGCGCCGCCGATTCAAACAGCTCC